TCATCCAAATCATCAATAAAGATACTACCGAGAACTGGGCCTAGCACTGACCCCTGGGGAACACCACTAGTGTCCGGCCAACAATTGGATGTGGCACCATTCACCACCACTCTCTGGGCCATCCAGTTCTTAACCCAGCAGAGAGTGCCCCTGTCCAAGCTGTGGGCTGCCAGCTTTTTCATGAGTATGTAGCTATGATAAACCAAACTCAGCTGAATTCACCCAAAGTATATATTCCGTGACAGTATAGAACCACATAGATATGTATGATGTCTTTGAAATAGCTAAGATTGGTTTTCAAACATGTAGTTTACAGCAGAGTATGCACTAGAAATGGAGATCTTGCTTTATAATTCATATAGCATTGAACAAGAACTGGTGATAATGAGACTTAAAATGTTATCAAATCACAGTTAATTGGAAAATTGATTTGAAGGAAAGTTATTAGCCTTTTAGGAATCAAAAGCCATGGAATTGATCAGAATTACTTGGGGACAGTTCTATGAAGGTGGAGAAGCTTTTCCTAAACTTTGTTGGTTTACAAGCTTCTGTTACTCATGGATTATTATGGGTATTTATTCTAAGTGTTAGCTTTCCAGCTGAATATTCAAGGATCTGAATCAGGCTGGGTGGAATACAGGCAAAATGACAAAAATTGGGAGCAATATGAGCACATGAAGGGGAAGAAATCCACTCTGGCTTTGACATCTTCTATTCTGAAAAGTCAGAATTTTTCTTTTAATTAGAATGTGCCCTTCATTATACTGTATTAGTTCTACATTCTCATGCACAGAACAATTCATAAGACAACACTTTTGTTGTAGTACAGCTTTTTCTAAACCTTAATTGGTTTTATTAGTAATGACTGGGTAACAATGCTTTTTTTAATAATAGTATTGACAATAATAAAATAGAAATATTTTAGTAGCAAAATTCTTAGGAAAACTGAAGTCAGTAGGCTGTTAGGAAGCAAAGCTTGTTTTTGACTGGTTATATCAGTATTTTATCATCCAAATGTATGTTTCAGCCATTTCAAATACAATTGGATGTGATCTATGTAGGTCTTCTGAGTAGATGAATGTTTAATATTTATGTGTTTACAAATGATGCTTTTTTGGAACTTAATGGAAAGTCTCTCTGAATTTCTGCGGTTTTTACTTAAGGTTTAGTAGTACACACTTTGGATAAGAGGGCTGAATTTTTAAGGTCTTGTTTTGCCAGGTAATTTTTAATCAATTTATAATATTAACAGCTTTGTCTATCACTTAACTAAATGTTTATTTCATATTTTGTAACTTGTAGGCCTCCAATAGTCAAGCATCGCCACAATCTGCTACCACACCAAGGATGGAAAGTGCAACAGGAACTGCAATTGCTACCTCTTCAAGAACTCCTCCATCACTCAGTCTTCAGGGTCCCCTGTGTCCTCCTGTGTGCCCCCCGGCTCCATTAGAAGAATTGTCTCCAGACAGCATTGATGCTCATACATTTGATTTTGAAACTATTGCCCATCCCAACTTGGAGCAAGCTCTTAAGCAAGGATCATTAGACTTGGATTCATTAGCAGAAAGTCCAGAATCTGACTTTATGTCAGCAGTAAATGAATTTGTAATAGAAGAAAATCCAGTATCTCCCAATGTAATAAGTGACCCACAAAGTCCAGAAATGATGGTGGAATCTCTTTATTCTTCAGTTATTAATGCAATAGACAGTAGACGTATGCAAGATACAAGTTCTTGTGTAAAGGATGTTCCAGTAGGAAATGCTTCTCTCAATGTTTGTGTGGAGAAGTGTAAGGTTATTGCCCAAGACTCAAAGATACATTTAAGAGGTATAAAAGAAGATCTTTGCCACTTCAGAACACTTGTACAAAGAGAACAGTGTGACTTTTCTAATTCCTTAAAATGCACTTCCTTAGAAATAGTAAATACCATTGAGAAGGTAAAACTTTCACTTGAAAAAACACTAAATGATAAACATCAAAATGAATTACAGTCTTTGAAAAGTGAATATGAGACTAAAATTAATAAATTATTGGAGGATGGTGAAGAAAATAAAAAGAAGATTAAAAAGTTAAAAGGTGACTTAGTAGGCCTTGAAGAAGTTCTTCAGAATAAGAATGACGAATTTGCAATGGTAAAAAATGAGAAAGAAGCTGTAGTTTGTCTTCAGAATGAAAAAGACCAGAAATTACTTGAATTAGAATGCCAAATGGAGACACAAAATTCTGAAATTAAAGAACTGAGACAGTCACGTGAGATAGTACTTGAAGACTTGAAAAAGCTTCATGTCGAAAGCAATGAAAAACTACAACTCCTGAGGGCAGAACTTGAGAGTTTAGAGCAAAGCCATTTAAAAGAACTGGAAAGCAATCTACAAGCAAGGCATTTAGAGGAATTTGAGAAGGTGCTAGCTGAGCACAAGGACTGTTTGGATAAATTGAAAAAAGAGAACCAGCATAGACTTGAACAAATGCAAGAGTCTCATGCAGTAGTTATGCAAGAGAAACAACAGCAAGTAGAAGAGTTACAACTCAAGGTTTCAGATCTGTCTGATTTGAGGTGCAAATTAGAAGTTGAACTTGCCCTGAAAGAGGCAGAAACTGATGAAATGAAGCTTCTTTTGGAAGAAAGCAGAAGCCAACAACAAGAGACTTTAAGATCTGAGATTGATAAGGAAACTGAAAGCTTAAAAAAGGAGATAGATAAATTAAACAATAAAATACAAATTAGCAGTGATGAATATCAAGTGGGATTATCGGAACTAAGGACTCTGATGACAATTGAGAAAGATCAGTGCATTTCTGAGCTAGTAGGTAGATATGAAGAGGAGTCAAATTTGCTTAGAACTGAATTAAATAAAGTCAGTCTTCTTCATCAAAAAACTTCCGAGGCAGAAAAAAGACTTTCAGAGCAAATAACGGAACTACAGAGTAAGTTAGAGTTGGAAGTAAATGCCCTAGAAAAGGAAAAAACAGAAAAACTGTTTCTCTGTGAGCAGCAGGAAAAATATGAAGCAATTATTCATAAGCTAAAGGAAGAGAAAGAACTGTTAGTATCTAACCAAGAACAAGACAGGCAGTTGCTCATTCAGAAGCTCAATTGTGAAAAAGAGGATGCAGTACAAACTGCTTGTAAAGAGTTTGAATTGCAGAGAGAAGCTGCTGAAAAAGAGCTTTTGGAAAAAATACAGCAACTTGAGATGCAAGTAAATCGGAGGTACTGTAAGAATTAAGTTACTGTGTTTTCATAGTATTTTAAAGTAATTAAGATGGTATATTGGTGATGTACTAAGCAACAAGTAAAATTTCTAGGTACTTATAATATTGTTTATCTCGGTTGATTTCTATATTCACATTTCAGGCTACTTCCATTTTGTAGGTAGTGATGTTACCGTGTCTGTAGGTAATCTCAAGGATTGTAAAATATCTTAAATAATGTTATTTCAAGACAGCAATAGAGATTTTATATTTCAGTCTTATAATGTTGCACTGAAGGAGTTTTTCCACAATAGCAAGTTGCTTGAAATTCCAGTTTTTGTGGTCTCAGCCTCTCTCTCCTTTCTCGTCTTTTGCTCAGCTGTTAGCACTGTGAGAGGACATAGTGGCTAGCTTTTAAGTTAGGCTGGCAAATTGATTTTATTGGCGAGCTATACACAAAGTTGGTGAGAATGGTGGCATGAAAAATTGTGTGGGAATGTTTATAGGATTGACGGAGAACTGCCCCATAGCCACGTGAACCTCCACTGACTTTTGCTGCCCTGTGTGTGTACTTTGGGGTCTTTGGTTTGAGCTTCATAATGAAATACATGTGTGCCACATAATTTTAAAGAACATTTTAACATCGTTGGTTTTTATTGTTAATTTCTGCAGTGCTTTTCTCTTCTTAAAACAAAAAATGCATTTTTTTTTTTTTTTTTGCAAGACTGCATAGAATTATACTTTCTGACTTCTCATATCTTACCTGGTAACTAGTTAGTAATGCCTGTCAGCAGAGTAGATTATGGTGTTATGGAATGGAAATAGTAGAATTTTTCGGTGTGACTAATACTTAGCAACAATACTTTATTTTGAAATGAAAAAGTGCATAAACTCATTTGTGCTCTTCTAGTGTTAATCAATGCCGCAGATAGATCTTGTTTGTACAATACTTAATTTTTTCCCAGGTATTAGGATGTACCAAGTAGCTGAAATGGTAAAAGACTAATAAGATGGACAGAGTGGGCATAAAAGCCAGAAGAGTACTGCAAAACATGAGTACAGACTTAAGTTAGCTTTTAACTTTCAAGTATCAATGTAAAGTTAAAAGGAAGGAAAGGGGAAGTTATGCAGAGTCTTTAACGTGAACATGTTTTGCTTGACGCAAGGGAAATGGGAATATCTGCTTCACTTGAGTTATCTTCCTCAGTCCGATTACCTCAGGTTTTTTCATATGCAAACATATTCATCATTAAATGATATCGTGTTAGTGTCTGTGTACGTCAGTGTACAAAAAAATGCATCAAGGTAATTATATTCTTTGAATTAAGGTTGGGATATAATGAAACTTAAAAACAACCCTTCTTAATTGAAGAAAATATTCTCTTAATGAAATACGGTGAAATGAGAAGAAAAAAGATAAATTATATGTTCATTTCCTTTTCTGTGTATTAATGCACTGTAGAAGTTTTAAAAGCTTGACTCAACAGGAAAAAGATGTGGCTGTGTCATCAGACTTCTTAAAAATCCACCTACACTTAAATTCGAACTTCTGAGCACAGCTGTGTGTATTCTTATCGAACTGGATAAAACAGATAGCAATATATTTCAAAGAAATATTATCTGCTTCAGTCTAAAGAAGTGTTAGTAGTTTGTTACAAGTTCTGTCAAGTAATTCCATTTTCAGTGTGACATTGAAATGTGTATTGCTTCCTAAGGCTCCTCTTTATGCCTTTATTCTGCTGTTAGGTATTTTTCTCTAGGAATAAAGACATGCTATGTTTTATCTCCAGAGGGCATATATGTTAAGTGAATCTGTCTTAATACATCAAAGTCACTTGGTTTTTGAGTTTCTAAAACCCCAAGATATGTCAGTAACTTGAGTGGATTTGTTATCCTCACTCAGTCATTGTTTAGCCGTTAATTTGTAATGGTAGAAACCAACTTTTTTGGCATGTGCCTATATGCATGTCATATAAGTGCCCTTTATTTGCAAGAGGAATGTTACATTAGCCATCCAGAAGGCACAGACAGAGGGATAGGTTGTTAAATGTGACCTGGTATCGGAAATGTAGTTTTTGAACTTTCATGAAAACTAACAAAAATATTTAAAGACTACAAAGAAGTGTTTGTGATCCATGCATTACCACCATATGAAAATGAACATGGCTTCATATATCTGAAAATCAAGTCATTATAATTAGGAAAGATAATTAAACTGCAAGGCATTTGTAACTCTCCTATTTGCTCTTTTTACATTATGTATTATGTACTAGCCAAGATTAACTGAAAACCACAATTTCTCTAATGACTTTTGTTGTTAAGCAGTTTGATGGTTAGTTAAAAGATTTTTAATTTTGCAAACAAAAATAGAATAGGAATCCCAACTGCTTTGAAAACAGAATTGCTGTTGTGCAATCTTCCAGCCTTGGTATTGCCCAGCCACTTCTGTCAGACCATCATCAGAAGTGGAGTTTCTCTAGAGAGCACATGCTCTCTTCTCTTAGCTAGGCTTCATTTAGAAATAAATTGAAATTTAATTAAGCACAAAAATGTTTTCTCAGTGGCACAAAAGATGATTTGCCTGAATGTCTTGTGACTTGCTTTTTCTTCTGATTGTTTTACTTCTGATTTCTGGAGTGTCAAATGTTGTTTTGCCACTTTGAGAACTTTGCCTTTCAGAGCTCTTCTATTTACTGCTTCTTCAGGACTTTCTGAGTGCTTAGCTACTGTATAATAGTTAATATCTTTAGTATATGCCCATGTGGTAGAACAGTGGCAGCATTGGTCAATACATCCTTTGTCATCTTAGAGTAGAACAGTTCACTTGCAAAGAAACCCCAGTCTCTGAATGTACATGCTTTTGGTACCTTGAAAGCTATAAGCAAGTTAGACATTGTCACTGTTTCTGTGGTTGTTGAGACATTTGCAGATTAAATGTGTAAGCCTAATGCCTGATATAGTGATGAGGTATAAAAATTGGTAATGTGCTAGCATTCTTTGCAGAATAACAATATCCTTTACCTGACTGTCATTTGCAAAGACTCAGTAGTCCATGCAATCCATCTGAGAGGCAGATTATTCCTGTTTTGATTTAGTGCAGTTTAACAGCTTTGGGGTTAAATATGATTAATTTCAATATTAATATGATTTAATATGATTCTGGTCTAGAGGAATATTAGAAATTGAAAGTAATAGGTTTTCACAAATGTTGCCTAAGAAAGATATTTCTCTATTCCATATTCTTCAGAGGTGGTTCTTGATAACTCAAGCAAAACAAAAAATGTGTGGGTAATGCTTTTGTTTTAGTGATGGAAAATACCTGGCCTATGTAACACTGTCTGTTTCAAAAGTCATTTAAGGTCATTATCCTTCTTGCCTCCATGACTGTTGATGCTTTCCTTCATTTATGGTCATTACTGTTGTGCTCCAGATTCTGCAATCCAGAGTTTTGAGTTTCATGACTGGATTCCTTAGCATCAGATTTACTGCGGAAATGTTCTAATCATGTGATAGTTCTGAAGGCTTTGCATTTTGACATAGTAAGAATCTTGATGAAATTGATCATTGTTCTCCTTGCTGCTTTTCACACTTTCTGTTATGTTAGAAAAGTGTAAACGAGCATCCCCTCTCAACAAAACTTTCAAAGTTAGAGCCAGCATAGTTCACAAAAAAACAGAATGCCCAAGCGTAAGAATTTGGTGAGATGCAAAAGTAGAATTGAGGATTAGTAATTATTTGATACATTGTTTATTGAATATTTCAGAAATGTCTCAAAATGAACTTGTGACTTCTTGTGTGCTTGCTTATTTCATGTATTCTGAGACTGTATATGCTGCAAATTTAAAGCCTAAACATTTTCTTTTAAGTCCTCCCACTGAATCATCTGCTGAATCAGCCTTAGTTGCTGAACTTCAAGAGAAGCTTCATGAAGAAAAAATGAAGTTCTTAGAGCAACTCGAAGAACAAGAGAAAAGAAAGAATGAAGAAATGCAGAACATCAGAACATCCCTCACTGCAGAACAGCAGGTAAAGCTGATTGGTTTTTTATTACTTTGGCTCCCATGAAAATTGTTTCCATTTGTTGCTTTGAAGTTATGGAGTAGGGTTTTCTCTTTTGCTATGCAACTCATGCTAAATTTACCCTAATAACCCCAAGCACTGGTACAGGTTGGGCACTGACCTACTGGATAGTAACTGTGGAGAAGGACCTGGGGGTCCTGGTGGACAGCAAGCTGTCCGTGGGTCAACAGTGTGCTCTTGTGGCTAAGAAGGCCAATGAAATCCTGAGGTGCATTAAGAAGAGTATTGCCAGCAGGTCTGAAGGAGGCAGTCCTGCACCTCTAACTCAGCCCTTATGAGGCCACACCTGGAGTATTGTCCAGTTCTGGGCACCTCAGTACAAGAGGAACATGATGCTCCTGGAGCGGTGCAGCATAGGGCAACAAAGATGATGGACGGACTGGAGCATCTAATGAGGAAAGGCTGAGGGAGTTGGGCCTGTTCAGCCTTGAGAAGTGACAACTGAGCGAGGACCTCATTAATGTATACAAGTATATGAACGGGGGGCACCAAGAATATGGAGCCAGGCTCTTCTTAGTCGTGCAAACTAATAAAACGAGGTAACAGGCAGAAACATACGCAACAAAGATGATGGACGGACTGGAGCATCTAATGAGGAAAGGCTGAGGGAGTTGGGCCTGTTCAGCCTTGAGAAGTGACAACTGAGCGAGGACCTCATTAATGTATACAAGTATATGAACGGGGGGCACCAAGAATATGGAGCCAGGCTCTTCTTAGTCGTGCAAACTAATAAAACGAGGTAACAGGCAGAAACATACGCACAGGAAATTCCACCTGAATACAAGGAAGAACATTTTTACTGTGTGAGTCACTCTGGAAAAGAAAAGATTGCCCAGAGAGGTCGTGGAGTCTCCCTCACTGGAGATACTCAAGAATGGTCTGATGCAATCCTGTGCCATGTGCTCTAGGATAGAATGGCCCTGCTTGAGCAGGGAGGTTGGAACAGACCAACCCACTGTGGTCCCTTCCAGCCTGACCCATTCTGTGGTACGTTAATGGAAACCAACACTTAAGCATTAAAAAATAAGCACCACAAAAAGACCCTCAAACCCCAGACCCCCCAAACCAACAACCGAACAACTGGGCAATCCAGATTGGATCTTTGTGATTTATTTTGCTGAAGGGCTTGAAATTTTTACATATTCATCTCTTAAATGCATAAAGATACCAGTTATTATGAAATTTATGGACAACACTGAATTAATTGTTTGTAGTACTAATTGATTTGGCACATTGCATACTGACTTTTAAAATATATTGGCTTTTGAACTATACTAGCGTGGTCGGGTGGTGTGTGAGGTTCAAAGCAAATGTTACAGTTTACTTAAGACTGCTATTTACTCCACACCTTGATACAAAATCATATTGCATTGGATTAATGTTTTATATTTGTGTCCACACACTTTTTCCTTTTTTGCAGCTTGAGTCTCTCAGTTTTTGTTGATGAGTCTTGAGTTCTTGAATTAATTCTCCGTTAGTAACAACTATTATGTACAGCTTTGTTGCATTTAAACACTAAGAAAGGATTTTCTGTTTTAAGCACCTCTACTGACTTCAGCTGTGGTAGGATCAAATAAGGACAAAGAGACAGGGTAGTGATCAACCAGCTTGGTGAATGAATGCTATGAGTCATTTTGTGCAGAGAACACAAAATTGCAGACAGCTATAAGGGAAGGAATACTTCTGAAATGTCTGAACTGCAAATGTTAATACTGAAGTGAGCCTTACATAGTAAATGTAATAGGAGTAGTTCCTACATTGGTGGTAATTAGATATTTTTTCCCCATAACGATATGCCTTAATGTTCCATTTTCCTCTTTCTCAAGTAATATTCTTAATTTGTGCAGCAGAGCATAGAAAGGAAAGTTCAGTGATGTTAACAGCAAATTACAGGGAAAGATGAAACCTTTTGTTAAAAACAAACCAACCCTACACAAAAAGCCCCAAATCAGTAAAATGGTATATCCTGTTGGTGCTGAAATTTCATGACACTGTCTTCACTGATTACTGAATATTCTGAGTATCTGAACTCACCTTTGTCTGTTTTTCTTGTGTTGGTTTTTTTTCCTCTCCTCAGTGACATTTTCTTAGAGGTATAACTTCTGCGTGTGGTGTGATAGTTTTGTTACACACACATATGCTAAAGGTCTCTGTGCACTGTGTAAAGGATGTAGCCTGCCAAAAAGACTGGAGACATTTTAAGACTGAGAGTTGATAGGCATAGGTCAGGACATTCTTAAAATTAACAGAAAAAATGAAATTAATGTCTTTTCAATAAATGGTTGTTGGTAGTTTTTGATTGTCTCTTCAGTGGCATAATGGTCAGGAGAAGGACTGAAGAATCAGAAAGATTTGTCAGGCTGTGCTAACCTCTTTTTGTGTGTCCAGTTATTCAAGCTATTAACCAGGATTCCTGTGTATCTTAATCCAAATCATAGTGTATTAGTAATATTTTTCTCTTTTATTGTGTGTATCATATCTTGATGCAATTCAGCTTTGTCTTAATTTTAATCTTTATAGTAACTGTTTTAAATACAAAATGTTTAACTATTGTACTTTAACTGAAATATTTAAATACAAAATGTTTAACTATTGTACATTAACTGAAAAAAAAAGTATTGTATTTAAAGGAAAAGTACAATTTACAATTTTTTTAATGATTTCTTTATTATTGTACTACTTGTGTATTTTGGGTTTTGGGAGAATGAGAGGTTTAAAAATAAAATTGACGGAAACATCAAAATACGAAGACATTTTATCTCTTCACCTAAACAATATGTAAACAAATATTAATTTCTTGTTTAATTATAATTTAGAAAACTGAAATGCATGCTCTTTGTTCTAGTGATGTATGTTACATTAAATTTGTACATTACGTTTTTTCAGTAATTAATTTCTGTTTTCAGACCAACTTTAACACCGTTCTGGCAAGAGAGAAAATGAAAAAAGAAAACATAATTAATGATCTTAGTGACAAATTAAAAATGCTTACCCAACAGCAAGAAAAAGATAAGGGTAAGCAAAGCTCTGAAGAGTATTCTTCTTTTCTAACAGGACTATTCCATTCACTACAGATTGGGTTTGATTCTTAGTGCTGCTGTTATTAAAAGAATTTGTTTATCTGTGTCATAGATTTGATTGAAACACTTTCTGAAGATCGAGCTCGCTTACTCGAAGAGAAGAAGAAGCTTGAGGAAGAAGTTAATAAACTAAGAAGTAGTAATTTTTCTCCATCAACCTACTCAGCAGCAGCAGCTTCAGAAGCTTGTTTTTTTTGACACAGACAGATTGGTTTCTGACATTGCAGCTGAAGGGAGAATGGACTCCACGATGGAAACCAGTATGATGGCTGTGCAGTAAGTATGGAGCACTGTAGTAGAAATACAGAAAGCATGCTCTCATTCCGTAGATGTAGACTGTTAGGTGTTGTGAAGTACAAATGAGCATGTTTAATGCTCCTTCTACCTTTGATGTTCTTGATGACACCACATACAATTGTGGTGTCATGATCATCAGAAATGTGTGGGTTTGATGACTTAGAAGTATACAACTTAAAGGTGAAACTTGGCCGAACAATCCTGAGATGAAAAAATAGACCTAAGTATATGAAAAGTAATTCAAGCAGAAGAATTGTAATAGTGAATGAGCTGTGGGTGGCTGTGTGTTACTGATATGTCTTTTGAACAGTGTCTCACTTTCATGCCACTAGCTTTTTGAACAATCCCAGCTTCTTCTTCATACCTTTTGCAGAAATAGTGAACCTGAGTGGGAAATATGCACGAGGAATGAGGTTTTTGGCAGAGGAATGAAAGCAAAGGGTTATCAGATATACTAACATTCACTTTAATCAGTGCCCAGCGCAACTGATGCTGCCTAACCCAGAATCAATACGCAGTGCACTAAATAGTGTTGTGGAAGTGAGGATGAAAACAGTTGTTGCTTACCAAACTGAATTTGCGCTGATAATAAACCAAGGAAATATCCTGCTTTAGAAGGAGAGCTGTTTCTTACAGTAGCCATTCTAATACTGAATTCTCAAAACAGATTCGCAAAACAAAATGTGTAGGTAAATTCGTGAACAAAAAAATTACAGCTCAACATATTAAAAGTCAGGTAATAAATAGACAGAAATTATTACAGGTTTCTGCTGACTACTTGCTATTACATGAGAGCTGAACAGCCTTTTAACTGAAATGAAGTAATGATTGGCATGGCTTAATTATAATCTGTTAGTTCTACTGGGCTTGGATTGATAGCATATGTTGTCCCCAGCATTGTCCATTTTGTTTTCCCAACCAAGTCAGTTTGGACTACAAAATAAAGTTTCTTCCTTATTAAACTGCTTTTAAAATTTATTTTAGGAATTACTCTTTGTTCTTATGGACTCTCTTATTAGGAGGTTAGCATTATTTTATTGTGCCCCAGTGCTCAGTTTATCTCACAGATAAATGGAAACAGCAAGTTCACATTAGTGTTACTGCCAGAGAGTCCCAGAGCACTTTAAACTACTTCCCAGTAGCCTTTAAACTACAGACTAGGAAAATACGACATCATAGAGCTGAACTGCAATATCAAGGGTTAACTGCCAAAGCATTTGGAGCTGTATTTTTCTTCCTCATGTCTTGAAAATAATGCCAAATGCCAGAAATGTTTCCATGTAACCTGATAAACTAATCAATGACTGAAAATTCACGGCCTTGTTGCAACAAAGAAGCTCCTTGGCTTAAAGAAAAGAAAAAATCCCCCGAAACCGGCCACAAATGTCAGTGCTGATTCTTAAGGTATCTCTCTATGCTGCCCTTCTGCACTGGTGAATATAAAGCACTCCTCACTGAATGAAGGTGGTTGGGGGGAAAAGATAATTTTTCATCATGAAAAAAATTTCATTTTCTTTCTCTTTTAGTGAAAATGTCCATATGTCTGAAGAAAAGCAGAGGATCATGTTGCTAGAAAGAGTGAGTAGATTGTTCATGAGACTAAGCCTTGCAACTAAGTACTTACAAGTATATATGCGTGAAGTTGTGCTGTGGTCAGTTATGTACTCTGATGCAATATGGAGTCTGCAAGGCTTATAATTTCAGGGGATGTTTTTTCATTCTACTCTTTTCAGATCCGTGTAATTGACTCAAGTAATTCAAGATCAGTATTAATACATGATTCTTGGCTTAGCTTTGTTTGGGTTTTTTTTGTTTATGTAAACTTTAATATGAATGACTCAGGTGTAATATTTCTACTTAGAGTGACAGATCACTGATCCAGATAATTTCTGTAGGAAAAAGAAAAGTTGTGATTGCTTTTTCAAATTAAGGCATCCAAAATAGCTGGACAGGAATTAAGATTGATTTAGTGGTTTCTCCTGGAAATGGGTAATTTCTTCTCTTAGGCTAAATTGTTGTGAGACTAATCCTTAGTAGTTAGACTGGAATATTTCAGATTCTAGTAATTTTTAACTTTCCAGTCTTATCTAACTCCATCTGAGTTGCCTTTTCAAAGTTGACCTTAAAAATAAAAAAAGTGTCTTTAGCTTTCTAGGATCACTTGGACTAACATCTGTGACCAGATAGTGAACAGGAATGTTTTCTGTTAATGGATTGTGGCACTGTATGATGCAAGTGCCTGGATGTTACTGACTAGGAGCACTTACATGCTTTATTTTGTCATCTGATTACAAAGGATTTGTCACAGGTAGATGCTGTAACGTAGTGTTATATTACATTTCTTTTGCTGTTCTGTCAGTGATGTTTTCCTAACTTAGAGAAGTATGGGTATGGAGGCAAGCAGAGCTTAGCATTGGGTTTTGTAGCACTGGGGTAATTGCTGGACTTCAGTGGGCTTTTTACATGTCTTTGTTCAAAAGATGTTATAATTGTTTTAAAACTGAAAGCTGTAGTATTGTATAAGTAGGCTCTAGTCATATCAAAACTTTTAAAAAGATGTTTGTACTGTATAAGGTGTATTAATCAGTTAATCATATGAGATATTCTTTCAGACTTTGCAGTTGAAAGAAGAGGAAAATAAGAGATTAAATCAAAGATTGGTAAGTATTTGGGCAATGCATGTTATAAATCTCAAGAAAAAATAAAGGCTTAAAAACGTCAAATTTGTTAGAATCTAAAATGTGTTATTAACTTCAAAAATTAAGTGTTAAGCTCAGAATTAAATAGGCGACCTGATACCCTTTCAGAGGCACCTGAGCTTAGCGGTCTTCTCATGAAAAAGATTCACGGGACAGGAAAAAGACACACAGGCCATCCAGGCTTGGGATACAAGGAGTTAATTTCTGTGGCACCTTGGCTCAGGTTTTCTGCAACAGTAGACTCAAGGCCAGTTTACAAGAATGTAAATATGCCTGCACATGAAGCATAATTAGGAGTGTTAGCAATAACTTGGAGATTGTTTTAGAAAAACTGCACCTGTCAGTTTTGCAAGGTGTGGAACTTTAGTTCTGCCTAGCAAACTGGAAATGAAAACAGCCATCATTTTAAGTGCTGAAATCATAGAAAATGCCTATGGCAGGAAAAAGAATATAGTGATGGAGTGCCCTTGATTCCTGTGCTATGGATCTTTTATTTATCCACAGTTTATCCTTGCTAGCAGGTCTCACCTTTAAGTCTTAACAAAATTACTGTGTGTTTGGGAAACACACATCCTTTGGTTAGACTGGCCATGGCAGTCTCACTATCTTTAAGTGACAGGTGACTTCTACCTAGAAATTTGGTAGAAACTGGAATCTGTGTAGTTTGAAGTTAATTTCATAGCAAAAGTGTTTGATAAGTTTCTCTAGTAGAAGATGACGTTTTTCTGTTTGTTCAGGATGTAAAGCTATTGCAAAACATCTAAAGGCATCTTTTTAAAAGAATTCCATTATTCAGAATGTCACTGAAGTGCACAAAAGTTATTTCAGTGTAGTTTTTACAATAAAACTGAAAACACTGTGGACAGATTTCTAAACCTCTGTAGACTTCCTAAATCTCTGTTCTCTTGGCGTCTCAGAATAAAATGAAATTGAAGAGAACACAGTGTACATGACAAATAGAAAATTGTTTGTTATGATTAATACTGAGCCATATAGGAGAAATTGGCAATTCATTGATCTCTAAAGCATTTCAAATTTGATTTCCAAATGGGCTAGGAAATTAAGATCTTTTCAATTCTTTACTCATAAATGAATTTTTTATGGATACATTTGGCTTTTCATCCGTCTTCCTCCCCTCCCCCTCCTTCCCTATGCTCTTGTAAAACTGAAACATTCATCAACACAAGTATCAGTATTCGTTTCTATTGAACCATTTCAGATAAGGAACTCAGAAGAGATTGTGCAAAACAAAAAATCTTCACAGGTCACTGGCTATTGCAGTGGAACTTGCGGGCTGCCTCTGCAAGAAATAAGAAATAAAAAAGAACTAGTTTCAATGCCAGGAATGTTATTGCAAGATTTTTGTGATTTTATATGCATTATTGAGAAGGGGAACTTTTTCAGTGTAAAGGCTATTAAAAACATAAAACATCCTTTTCCGAGTTGTAATGGAATTTTTCTCAACATTCTAATTTGTTCTCTTTTTCTTAGAAATTAGGGAAAAATACAGAACTCAAACTAGTTTGCATTTTAGTTTATACTTCATCCAGTTTTTAAAAATAGTAAGAAAATCTCTGGTCTTAATCTGAAAAGAACTTTGAAACACTTTTGCAAACAATCTAAGCAAATTTGACAACTCTCATGCTAGCTGCAACTTTTCCAAGAAAGAAAAGAATAATGTGAATAAGACAAAGAAATGCAGCCTCTTAAAAAAAAATAAAATCTGAAGTGGATCCTGTAAAGAAGGTGGCTGGAAGTGTGTCATCAGAATTTGAGAGCTTTTTGTGTTGTACTGCACTCAATTTGGACTCATTCTTTGAAGAATTGAAGAAAATGAGCTGTGACTAGGCTCCAAGCTCATATGAAGACAGCCTCAGGGAGAGGCAGGGGACAAGATTGACAATAAGAAGTATGCTGTAGGGAACAATATTTGAGTTACAGCTGAAAAATCATGTGCTAAACTTCAAGTATGAGCAATCTAGATTTGAATAGTGTATAAAAATGCTCCAGGAAGTAGGAATGTATGGAAAAATTGCAAGACCTCTAGTCAGAGTTTCTATAGGGCAATTATGAATTGTCTTCTGTAGGGAAGTTGGACAAAGGGTTATGAAATTGGATACATTTACATCAGATCAGCTTTGCTAGCTACTTGCCTTCCTGTGGGCTAGGTATTCCTTTGTCAGTAGTGTTACCCATTTTTATTTCTTATTATCATAGTTACTGTAGAAAGCTTGTGTACACTTATATTCATTTTTAGGTCTAGTTTATCCTATTACGTTGTCCATGTGCCAGTATTAATTAATTTCAATATATGTAAAGGCAAAAAGCATGTATATTGAGAGAGTTCTTATGTCCAAAACCTCACATAATTGAACCTTTGTTTGATCTTATAAATTTGACTTCAGTTTTATTCCAGGGAGTGCTGCAATGTCTATTACAATTATGGCAGTTTTTAGAAAAACTGAGATGCTATATTGAGTTCAACATCTAGAGTTTAATTGTAGTAAACTTGTTCTGTCATCAGCCTTTTCTGTTGCCAGTGGTTTCTGTGTTAGAGTGCACAGCTATATCATAAGTCTCCTGTATGGTCAGAACAAATTTTCACCGGCACTGATCTGGAATGCACTTCTGTTTTGATTAACGATGGAGAAATCTGTTATACAAGAAATTTCATAATCAAAGGTAGCTATTTAAAAAAGCACAACAAAATATAATTCACAAATGATGAAAACCACAAACAGCCAAACCCAATACGTAACAGGATGACAGAAAGGTATGCTGGTTTTTTTGATTGTATTGCAAATACAATCCACAAGACTAGATACTGTTTGAAAAAGTTACTTGTCTTACCATATTCTTACCTGTGATGTACATTGCATCATAGCTTGCCAATACTTTATAGCTTTTCTCTTTCTTTTATAGATGTCCCAAAGCATGTCATCAGTGTCCTCAAGACATTCTGAAAAAATAGCTATTAGAGAGTAAGTACATGGTATCTTCCATAGAAACAGATGGATATGCCTTCACTAAAATAAGTGTGTAGCTAAAGAATGTCACAATTCTTCTGTTTTGGCTCCATGGTGAAAAGATATATAGATATTTCTGTAGTTTAGCAATCAGTTACTGAACCATCCCAGTTGAACAAAAATCAAATTTTTTAACCCTTTTTGTAAACAGAAAAAAAGGACCTTTCTGAATTCTGTATGTTGGTGACTTTCTTGAATTCTGTACTTTTCTTTGCACAGTTCTTAAGCATAATACTGCATGGGACTTATAGAATCCTCCTAGAGTTTTCTTTTAGATTACATTTTGTTAATCTATAACCTTGAAATCATGCTAATAAAAATTAAGAAGGAAATTTGTTCATCCTGAATATGCCTAGTGCTCTATTATATTTCAACAAAAGTTTTGCCTTCATGAATTCATGGCTTATCGTGACATAGTGGAATTTAATAAATATTTCATTAGGCACTATCAGTCTGTTAGCAGCTGCACATAGAATGATTCCTGGAAAAAGAGGTATTCTTGCAAAATATGAAAGCTACAGAAAACTTCTTAATTAACATTAGATTTACTGGAGTAATATGAACATTTTGGGCAAAGAAAGCTAACACATTATTCTGTTAAAAGTTTTTGAATTGCACCAATTTGAATTTTGATTGTAACAAGATCAGTATGTGAAGAATCAGTGTTTTCCTTGAAAATCTGGATAATCTGGCAACTCCATTGGTAGTCTTTGGGGAGGAAAATGTTGTGAAGGAAGAATTCATCTGTCCAACAGAGATGTCTTTAAGTCAGTGTAACCTGTCTTTGTAATAAGTCCAGGGAGAAAAACTTGGAGTATCATTTATTTAATCCAAAAGTGAACTTCAATGTAGCGAAGATAAATTTCTCTAGATTTACTTATTTGTTTTGTATCTGTAGTCTCCTTCTATGGAGAAGAGTTTTCTGCTTTCTTTGCCACTTTGTCCCCTGTCCCCAGAGGGCTAGTAGTATTTATTTTCTTTGAGACACCTCATGATTTAATGCTTAATTTGTAGCTATTTCAGACTTCATTTCATTAATGGGTAAATCTTTTACTTGCAATAAATTTGCACTGTGGGACAGAAGTTTAGAGACAGAAGTAGTTGTCTGAATTCTATGACTGAAACTTGGTGTGAGAACTCGATGGCTTCTTGTATTACCCTGGTGTCAGGAAGCAGCTTTATGTGAAGTCACCACAGTATTTCTTTTGCTTTTAACCATTTGATCAAAGATGAACACTTCATTACTTCTTCGTCTTGTGTCCTTAAAATTTTAAACTTGAAAGCTGCATAAACGTTTTGCTGTATTTTTCTGTGTTCAAATTGGCTTCAACTTAGAACATCAAAGGAATGTTTGTAAATAGTGGTACAGTGATGGCTGCCTTAAGTATTGGTGAGTAGAAATAGTACAGAATTGAAACATTAATATTTCAATAGGTACTTCTGATTATATTTTAAAGTGAAACTGACAGTTCTTTCGAAAAAAAGTAATTTGAGCTGATGTATGTAGAATTCTTCAAAAACACTTTTTAAAGGGTAACCTGGTTTTGTTGACTTCAGAAAATATAAAATGTATATGAGTTGGCTTAGTAAGTGGAAAAGTTTATGCTGCTGTACAACTAAGTCTCAGTTTATGCAATGCTTGAGAAAAATGTAATGTAATTAATGGAGTTTTAAA